TCGAAAGTGAAATTGGAAATTATTATATTAAGCTCTATTGGCAACGTGATTATCCTGTTAATCAATTGAACTACTCGGCTCAGCTTCTTTGACCCGGCGTAAGTACAAACGCCAGTAACATCTGGATATAGCAGTATATTCGTCCTTCAGTTTGAACTTCATAATAAGAAGAACATGTCTATCCAAACATTAAAAAATTATTATTTCGCTTTGACGACTGTAAATTGAAAGCAACTATTTTCAAAAATCAATACATATAAAATTATTTATTCGTTACGATTATTATATAATACTTATGTGTGTGTTTTCTTTATGAGAGAAGTTGGCAAGCGAGCTGGCGGTTCACCTGATGTGATAATACTTAGATATAAGTGATAGCCGCCGTCCAGGGACATTTGCAATAGCCATAGGGCTGCAGATGCGTTGCCACCTTTTAATGAAGTGAGCCCGGCTTCATCACTAACCAGACGGAACGCAGAACTTAAATACTTTCACTTCACGCCGGTCTTCTGCGAGGTCGTAGTTCTTCCCCGGACGGACTTGCCCATTAGAGCAACAGGGAATATAAATTCCTTTGATTGTCTCATTCGAAGCGCTTCAACATTATTGCAATATTTGACATGATAATGTTTGATTTGTGCATAATATATAACAATTTGCATTTAATAAACAACAGTCCGTAAACGTAAATAAATAATACAAACAATAATGCGACAGATAGAAACATTTTGTTGATATCCTTAAGTGTCAGTCAGAAAATATAAGCCTACACTTTAAAAAAATAATACATTTTTTTTTAATGTGAAAAGTTGCCAAGCGAGCAGAGGGTTCACCTGATGTTACCGCCGCCCATAGACATCTGCTACACAGGGGTTTCAGATGCGTTGACAACCTTTTGAAAATTGGACTCCGGCCACCTCATTCACCAGACGAAACGCGAAAGTATTATACTTCCACTTTACGCCGGTCTTCTGTGAGGTCGTGGTACTTACCCGGACGAGCCTGCCCATTCGTGCAACAGCCGAGGCAGCTGCGTGGCTCTACCACCGTTATAGTTTAAATATATTATATACATTAAAATAGTTTGTAGTTTATAGTTCCGTAAAATCGTGTGGAACCCATATGTGGTCAATTCTATTCTGTTTTTATACACAAGAACTAATAAAGAAAAAGCCAAACCGTGGAGTTACCATACACAAGGGAGTGACGTAAAATACGGAAATAATAAGTAAAGTAAAGCAGAGGCCCACCTTGATAATTGTCTCGTTTCTACTTCACGCCGGTCTTCTGTAAGATCGTGGTTCTTCCCCGGACGGAACTGCCCATTAGTGCTACAGCGTAAACTATTGAGTGGCCCTTGCACAGTAGAATTCTTCAGTATTTTGCGTTCCTACATTATATGGGCACTCAATTCGTGTAGTAATACAAAACTTAATTTATAAAAAAAAATGAATAAAAAATAACTCCAATCTAACTGCGTTCGACATTCGCGATGATCACCTTAATTAAAAAAGTGCTAATTATTAGAAAAAGAAGTTTTTCACATTGCCAAAATAGTTTTTGTTAGCACATTGGCACGTGACTCGGACACGTGCAAAAGAGCTATTAATATAAACCTAACCGTTCGGCATAACTAACACACTTTTATTATTCTTTATTTAGTAATATATAGCATGATTATTTTGAATTTTCAGTAAGTTCCCAAAATAGCTCACACACGCAGACTCGCTCTTAAATCAATAAGGTCGTAGATGAAACAAATGCTAATCACCAAAGGTAAGTATTATGAATGCGAAATGCAAAATAAAAAACACAAACCTAGTACGTCTCAAGATTGTGAATAAAAATACCATGGAGTTACTTGCCGGATTTTCTCTGGTCTGCTCTAGTATGATGCATGGGTGGCAGTTTATGAGTCTCACAAGACCAGCTAATTTGAATAAATATTTTTTACATGAAATCCGTACCCAGGCGGCAAAATTATGGTGATGTCTTAACAAATAGCCCACCTTTACTAGTTTTGTTATTATTTTACATTTAATGTTATAATTCGTGATGGCAAATACCATCACAATGTAGAGCTGCATTTTTGCTGCCAAGAATACTTCTCCTGAGATAGATGATGTATCCGTATTTGTCAAAATCGAAGAAAGTTTAACTATCACAACTTTTATGACAAGTAATTCATGGTTTTCCATGTCGCACAATGGACATAGCGCCGTCTGTTTATGATGATGGTTTATATTCTTTTGTTACTGGCAAATACAAATGGCAAACTATTATTAGAACAGCTCTTATAAGTTCAGTGAAAAGAGCGTATCGGTGACTCCGCATTCATGCTATTGAACAATTAGTTTATTGACATATATATTGATGATGAAGATAATTGTAGAGAATCAATAGTTGATAGTTAAGCCTTTATATCTAGTGAGCGGACCAGAAATATTTTATAACTTTATTATTTATTCATATTTTAATATACAAAAAAATCTTCTAAACTAAATAACTTCGTAAGTCTTATAAATCAGAATTCTATAAGGAAAAATGTTTATGTTTTATTCACTTTATATAACGTTAGACTTTTTTTATAGACTTCTTAAGAATGAATTTATAAACAGATAAAATTAAAGTGTCAACTTTTAAAATCATCTAAAAGATTTTGAATTATACTAAACAGTTCAGGCAACAGACTTCATAAATTAACGTATATGAATTAAATCGAAATATACGTGAAACGATCAAATTGTGAACGCGCGTTAAGTCGGCGGGACTGTTTGCTTGCGTCACCGACGCGCACTGCGCCGGCCGCCCCCCTCGCCGCACATCCCTCGCGCACCCGTTCCGACCTCGTACACAGGTCACATACGAACATTTTATACGAAACTAGGGTAGCCAACAAATTGTATTTCAGAAGAACAAATTTCAATTTCATTTAAATTATATTGAAATTTATTTATCCAGGTATCACTCTATTAGAGGTATCAGTGCTTGTGAATTTGTAACGTGCGAAAATCACTCTTATACGGCTTACCACTGCCGCCTTACCAGGCACATTTAAGTACTTCGTAAAATTGTATTATTCCTTTTATACATATGAAAATGTATATATAAACCATTCCTAGCCAGCTCTGTCTAGCTGTAAACATTATCAGGTCATAAGGCATAGAAGCTTAGATGCTTTGATAACGTTTGAATTACACACTCTATAAATACTTAAATTTATGGTTTCACTTCTCTCGTCATGTAAATAGCAAAATTGAACAAGTAACGACTGAAGTAAAATAGATAATATTAAAAAAGTCAAAATAATAATATATAAGATCCCTCGATGACTCTTACGTCTAATCGTAAACTTATATATTTCATTAACTAAGTGTCCGATTGCCTGTAATAATTTACAACGTGATGGGAAAAAGGCACTATTTTCATTCAGTAATTAAAAAAAGTTACAAAGGACGTATAATAACTTTACTTCAATTCCGCGATCTCCGATATTTTCTCATTATTTTTCTACCTTGCATCATAAACTCGCTGTCCTTGAATTAAATGAATAACAACACTGTTTCTGAGAACGTTCATTTATCGCAGCGACTTATCCGTTAATAGCAAAACGTAATTAACAAATTTATAGTATTGAATTCAAAACATGCACCAATTGAAGAGAGTTGGCGTATTAATAATATATACGATACATTAAGTAGTTGTATCAAGGCATAAGCGTCTTCTGTGCCAGCTGGCATTCATTGATACTCTATATACTTACGTTATACTTACAATGGTAAGTAATTGGTAAATTTAGTCGAGTCTTATTTTTAACAACGTAGCCAGTAATAACGTCACTTCTGTTTCGGTTTCGGCAGCAGCAAGGACCGATAAACTCCCTGTTTTATGTGACAAAGTTTCTATCGATTTTGTTCCTCATTGTCGTAATACGATCATCAAGACTAAGGATCAACTGGAAACTGATTTGACGATTTTTGAGCGGTACGCAAGCGCCAATATGTCACTGTAAACAAACTGACTCGTGTAAAAACTTCAACATCTAAAATCTAAACATTATTTGTAATATATATAGATATGTTTGCTTTGCAATTTTATTATATTAAACAACAAAAAATAAAATACCCACTACTCATTAAGGCGTACTCTAATCATTATCGTTCAGACATGTGATATGTATAAAGTCGAGGTCAGAATGTAAAAAATCACAAATATACTGAATACTAGGCATTCTACTAAATAATACGATTCGAAAGATAGTAATTTTAAAAAATATCAATTTTATACGGCAAATAAAAAAGATATACTCTTATGTAAACAACTAGAAACCACGTAAATTTAAGTGATACACATTTCCGCGTATCTATTTTGTTATTGTTAATAAGAGTCGGGAACAATTCTAGCACACGAATGCGTATTGGTTAGAAGTTTCCATAAGTGTAGCGATAAGCGGCCACCAAGATAACCAGTTGAATTTGTAAACGATGCCATTTGTGTTTTGTCCGGTTAAAGTTATTAAAAAAAAGGTATTTACGAATTTAAAATGAAATTACAATTTGAGTCAATTATAGGTGTCACTTGATAATGATACGACGAACAAGACGTGGACAGTAACACATTTTACTTTAGTTATATAAACAAGTGGTCACCGTGTCCTTTTGGGACTAAAACATACTCAGTTTATATAAGATTCAATTTTTATATACATATCGATTGATAGGTATATAAAAATTGACTACTTGAAAGTCAAGTATAACTTTATCTGAGTAAACTTTTGATACGTATAACAAATAGAAATTCAGAAAAATGAAGGACATTGCACGTAGATTAATAACGTGCTAATATAACTGTCAATGTCTGTAATAATTGCTTATTAGAGGCAATTTATTCCTCCATAGGAGGTCAATTAGCACGCTTAGTGCTGTATTCTGTATTCAGGTACAACATACACAATCGTGAAAAGAGCCAGTATCCTAACAGGACTGTGTTATACGTTTCAGCGACACTAATCACCGCCACAGCGGGGACCTGCTACGGTTGGCCCTCTCCCACACTGCCGTACCTGCAGTCGAAAGACAGCTCGATTCCCACATCGAAGGACGAGGGCTCGTGGATAGTTTCTATCATGATCCTCTGTTCTGCGCTAACGCCGGTGCCGTCCGCCTACATGGCCGATAGGTTCGGCCGCAAGACCACCCTCCTGCTGGGCGCGGTCCCCTTCATCATCGGCTGGGTGCTTGTGATCGTCGCCAAGTCAGTCGCGGTGCTGTACGTCGCCAGGATGTTCTCCGGCCTCGGCTACGGTATAGTGTACACCGTCGCCCCCATGTACACGGGGGAGATCGCCACCAACGAGGTGCGAGGGGCCCTCTCTACCCTCATTACATTAATGAATAAGGTAAATAATAGATAAATAAATATTTGAGGACACATTTTTTTACAGAACATTTTCTTTTCCCAAACTAAGCAACGCTTGCACTACGGGTACTAGATAACTAATAAACATACTTAAAAATACTTTTCTTTTGTAAATAAATACATATTATACATATATAAACACCCAGACACTGGAAAAACACTATGTTCATCACACAATATTTTTCCAGTAGTGGGGATCGAATTTGTACAGTCGTGCAACATAATTTAGGTTAAAAACGCTAAACACCTGTTCTAACATGTTTAATGTAACACACTATTTTACGTACTGACAATGTTTCACTGCATCTAGCTGTATGTTGGTGAGAATGTTGTACTTCGTATTGCTTTTTGTTAGAAATGCTGAGTTCGCCATTGTACGCGGAATTTCACGGACCAAGCGAAACGTGACTAATTAATACAATAATAATTGTAATGTTTAGAATACTGTCAAAGGAATAATGAAGATGGAATGTTCCTGTTCTGTCAATCTGAACACGAACAATATTTATATTTCGCTGTCGTTGCAATCATGTCGAGCTTCACTTTTCACTGAAGTGTCGGTATCTGAGCGCGTTTTATTTACTCTATCACGATAATGCTGATAAAGTACCCGGTTACGCTAACTATTTAAACTTTTCATAGATACCATATTCCTCCATGCATTTTGTGAATAGGAATAATGTTTTATTTTTATCCTTATACAAATACGAAAATAATGTCGCGAGTCAAATCATGTCAATATAATTTTTCCATCAACCTATATTGCTTGTTTAACGCAAACTCGAAAACTAACTGTACCAACGTTCTAACTGTACAAGTATCCGTTTACAGATTTTATGAAGGCATATTTTATTTACAACGTCGCAAGTCAACATTTGCAAATGATCTCAAATCCTGAATATTTGAGTTATCATTATAAAACAGATTTACCATTCACAGTATCAAGTTGTCTGACGAACCTACTATTTTATTTTCATTCGTTTCAAATTTTTTAATAAACAAACACAATCGCAATCAAAAAGTAGTCGCAACCAATACGTTTTACTTATTGCATTTTTATAATTTTTTCAGATCGGTATTCTTGCTCAATACTGCATTGGACCTTTCGTTTCGATGCGCACGTTGGCCGCCATCAACTTGATCCTACCAATTACATTCGTGATAACCTTCATCTTCCTGCCCGAATCGCCGTACTACTATTTGAAATTCGAACGAACCGAGAGAGCGGAACGCTCATTGAGGAGCCTCCGCTCCGGGGACATACGGCTTGAACTGAAAAACATAGAACTGAACGTCCAAGAGGACATGAAGAACAAGGGCTCCTGGGGAGATCTGATATTCGAGGCCACCAACCGAAAAGCAATGTGGATAAGTATAGGGGTCTTCACAATCCAACAGCTATGCGGCAGCGCCGCTATAGTCGCCTACGCTCAGATCATATTCAAAAGCACCGACAGCAAACTCAGGTCCTACGAAGAGTCCATCATACTCGGCTGCGTCCAAGTGGCAACTTGCACCCTCTCCGTGGTTCTGGTGGATCGCGTTGGGCGAAAGCCGCTCCTTCTACTCTCCGCCCTCGGCGTAGGCCTCATGAACGGCACCATCGGAACGTACTTCTATTTGAACACTTGGCACAAGGCCTCCGTGGAGCACCTCCATTGGCTGCCACTCGCGGTGCTCGTCATCTACATAGTGTGCTACGCGATCGGCCTATCAACCGTTCCCTACGTCATCATCGGAGAAATGTTCCCCACCAACGTGAAGCTCTACGCGTCTTGTGTCGCCCACATTTACACCGGGATCTCGATGTTCGCCGTGCAGAAGCTCTTCCAGGTAGATAGCATATCTGATTGCAATTATCACTTCATTCATTCCGCCATTGAAATACGCTTTGTTAATTTGAAAATTAACAATGCGCTGTTCACGTGCATGTTTGCAATGATTATTACCAAGTTTATTAGAGTTTAAAAAGGAAATACTCACTAAGGATTGTGAATTAAAAGTTAGAAATTATATTCATTTGTAAAAAAAATAAGCGCAAGTTGTTTGACAGATTACATTTCAATTATAATCATTACATCTTACAGTTATGATTAATACTACTACTAATAATACTGTAACTACTCTGTGTATCTCATCTTGTCATTCTCTCTTAGAAGCTATAGGCTAAGTATCTGTCAAAATATCAAATAACGAATATCTAACACATTATATGTATATCGAACATCATCAGGCATCATTATCGACAGGCAAAAGAGGTGTACAACCATAATCAATAAGGTGTATGTGATAACTATGTTTTATCGCCAGTAGAATGACTTTTCTAAAACTAAAAAGAAATGTAACATTTTATTTATTTATTTGCACACTTTGTTGTACTAACTGGTACAAATGGCGGGCTTAATGCCATAAAGCATTTTCTACCAGCCAACCGGAAAGTTAGTGAGAGAGAAGTGTAGGTGCTAGCTATTTTTTCTTCATATTCTTTACGTTCCTTTTATCCTAATGAGGTTATAATTTAAAAAGTATTAAAGGTCATAAAATCGTCTGATTACTTAGTTAAACGTAGCCAACCAATTGTAAATTTGCAGTTAAATTTAAAAACAAACAGAGTAGTTATCTGATTGATGAATTGCAGTTCGGTCGTTTCTATTATCGTCGCTAATAATAGAATCGATTTACTGTCACGCTACAATTAATGCTCCACAAAGGTGTGACTCAAACGATCCGTCATAGCGATATCGATGGAACGATATGAAATCGACGATCAACAGTTCAATCGAATTTTCCAGGTGGTCGAAGTATCTCTGGGCATTTACGCGGCCTTCTGGGGCTTCGCCGCGTTCTCACTGATCGGGCTGGTGTACATGATGATCGCATTACCAGAGACGAAGGGGAAGTCCTTCGCGAACATCCAAGCGCGCCTCCGGAGGGACGTCGCCCGCGACAACGCCAGCAAACTGATGACCGTCGAGTACTAGGACGGGCGTGTGGGGATCGAATTGGAAACGTTAAGAGTGTCGATACTTAAGATTTAATGATAGTTTTACTACACACGTGCACAGCGTCTATATACATAAATGGCGATGGACGTTAGACCATTAGCCTGTAGAGCGGTATCAGCGGCAGGACGGTCGGCATTAGGAGGCCGGTGCCCGAGAAGGCGGTGAAGTCTTCGGGGTCGTAGTCTGCCGGCAGGCCGCGTGACGTCACCACGCCGGCGTACAGCCCCGCCGAGCGCTTCGCCGTCCTCGTCTTGTTCGCGCTCTTAAAGTCGACCAGGTAAAGACCGAAACGGGACCTGCGGATGCATTTAAATTAACACGACGAGTGGAAATAAATCGCGGCTTTGACTGGAGTTGTGTTTCATTTATTTACTTTCAAAACGTCCCATTCAACCGCTTTTGCTGAGGTTGCAGATAATAAAAAACACTCAGCGGTCCAGTCCAGCTTTGAAGTTTAGTTCGTATCCTTTTGATTGTTATAAAGCTAAGCGCGACAGGAGAGGGTCACAAGTCAAAATAAATATTCTCGTGTATGATTAGTTTTACTACATTTTAGTGATATTTTTGCTTGTGACTGCAAATGCATCACCTTTTAATAAAGTGAACCCTGGTTACCTCGCTCACCACACGAAACGCAGGAATTTAACAATTCTGCTACACGCCGTTCTTTTGTAAGGTCGTGGTACTTACCCGGACGGACGGACCTGTCTATTCGTGCAACAAATAGGACTGTTAAGTGGCCCAACCACAGTTAAAAACGTTATGATATCCTTGCGATAAAGCCAGAGTTAACAGCGGCTTTGCGATTAGAACCTGTAGCTACAGGTTCAACTGAATTTAATTTATTATATTTATAACACATTTATAAGAAAAAAATTGTGCCATTCAACCTAACGGGTGATCTAGGAAGTTGAGGTAGGTACAAAAATAAAATTATGAGTAAGAAGATAAATGAATACACATAAATTATAGACTACTTATAACATACTATTAAGGATAATGAATATGCAACAACATATTTGCGTTCCGTCTGGTAAGGGTAGCCGGGGCGCACTTTATTATAGGTGGCAACGCTAGTGCAACCCAACAGGTGTTGCAAATGGGCGGCAATTATCACTTAACATCATCTGAAACCCCAGCTCGCATCTCACATAAAAAAAATATAAATACGTCAAAATATATACATACTTTTATAATTATATAAGGAGTGGAATGAGTCTGCCGATAACTTTTTTAATTAAGAGCTCGCGAGCTTTTAATCTCTCCTTATTAACTGCATAGCAACCGTAAGCCAACCTTATTTAGAGAATTAAGTATTACAAAGAAGTATAGATTGAAGAAAGAAAAGTACATGAAATCTGAACGGTGAGAAGGACATTGAAGAAGACGATTATTTGTCGAATGAAGATTCTTATTGATTACGGTACAAAGGTATTAAAAGTGGGGATATAAGATGGACTAGATGAAGAATTCAATATACAAGAAGATAATAATCAAGGAAGAATAATGTGATCAGCGAACGTCTTTGACGAATAAGTAACCATTGCAATTTTTTAAAACGATACAGACACCGCAGAACGCTTATGACCCTCTGACTATAATGCTGTATGGATTATATTATAATACAAAACTATTATTATAAAAAACTAGCTGACTCGGCAAACGTTGTTTTGCGATATAAATTATTTCTAGAGGAATCGGAACGCGTTCAAAAATTGTTTGACAGGTTGACAGGTACATTATGTATGGGAAATTAAAATTGTCGCTATTTAGATTTCCCATGCAAATATTCCATAATTTCTCATCGTTTAAACCTTCCCTGGACCGCCACAAATACATCAAAACCAAAATTAGCCAAATCGGTCCAGCCGTTCTCGAGTTTTAGCGAGACTTACGAACAGCTTTTTTATATATAAGAAGATTACTAATACGAATTTCAACTCGTGATTTGGTTTATCCGTTGTGAGTGAGTCGTTATACGCGAGTAGTTATATGAAGTGCTTAATTTGTTTTAGGTACGGTTGTACTACAAATAATGGCGTGCTTCATTGACGCGTATTGCTCATTTACCGTAGTGAAGTAAAGTACTCCGCGTAATGAACAAGCTAATATATACTAGCGAAAATCCTTGAGGAGATTAAATTCTTAAAGTTACAAGTATACGTTACACGAACATCGTTTCGCATGAAAATTTTATAATTTTTCGAAAAATTTGGCCAAATTATAAATCACCAGACCGCTTTACCCTATTAACCACGAAATAAAAAAGTATCTTTTTCTACTTCATCCGGAAGACTAACCTTTTCTACGGTCAGCGCTAATAGTCCATATAATAGTAATGTCAATTTTGTTATATTATCTTATTATAGATGCCATTTATATCGTTCGCAGACTGGATAATTCTAACACGTGCATTGCCTAAACTATAACCACAAACAAGTTTAAATAAGAAGTTAAAATTTCCCTTGATAGATTAAAAATAAAACATAATATGACAGTTTAAATACCAAATCATTTACCGTGGACGTTATCAATTTACTGTCAAAGTTTCATATCAAAATAAATATAAGAGGGGCATCATGATGAATTATTATGTTTCATCGCAAAATGTAGTCTTATTGCGATATGATTATCAATGACAGTTCGCAGGTTTGCATGATAGAAAAGTTATTCATTCTATCGCAGAAAACGTAAATTAAAAACATATATTTAAAAAGTGAAGTTGTAAACAACATTGATAAGATAATCATGATCGTATGATTCGTAAGAAAAAATAATTTATAAAATTTTAACTTTAAACTTAAGTTTTTTTTTTTTTAGTTAACGATACACAAAAGATTGATCTTACTGATTTATGATTTCGTGGCTATTCTCAACTGCAGTCAATGTTGAGGATGCGGTAAAAAAGTGAAAAACTGAAAAAGTGGTGGACACCAAAAAGTTTGTTTAGTACAATAAGTACCAAAATAATGGATTGAGACAATGCTTCTATAGTTAAATAGCGAAAGGGAAGAAAGTATTCTATAATCATACTTTGCTAGACAGGCGTGATTTATGACAGTTAGTCATTGTACCTTACGAAATCAAAAGCCAAACAAAATTGAGCTCATGCTACTTTCAAGTAGTTGCACAAAATTGCAACATTTTATTGAAATACTTAAAGACCCAGACTACTAATACAATGGTTATGATAGTCAAAAACAATATTATTAAATTATCGTCAAGAAAGTTGTTGTGTTGATTACCCGTGCACAGTCTACTATTAAATTTAGTTTAGTTGTTTAATTTATTTTCGATTTGATTTTATATTTTTACTAGCGACCCTCCCCGGCTTCGCACGGGTGCAATGTACTATACATATGAACCTTCCTCTTGAATCACTCTAGTAAAAAAACCGCATCAAGATCCGTTATGTAGTTTTAAAAATCTAAGCATACATAGGGACAAAAATACAGCGGGACGACTTTGTTTTATACTATGTAGTGTTGCACAGCAGAGACGTTTACATTTCAAGTGACATTTTACCACAGTCACTTACTTGTTTTGCCTTTCCAGAACCCCTCCACTAACACTTAAACTTTATGGTATTAAAGTTCAAATTGACTTTTAAGTATTATTACGAATCTTTTGTACGGGAATATAGAAAAGTGTTGTTTTTCGACTTTTGCAGGCTATTTTTTAATTTCTTTCTTTCATAAGAACCTTCTCCTGATAATAACAAACACAACAAAAAAAGTGAAATCGGTCCAGCCGTTCACGCGTGATGGCGTGACCAAGGGAAATAGGTTCATTTTTATATATAGGTAATTGTTACACTAATATAATTATGTTTCATTAGTAAGTTATTTACTGTAACCTTTAAGTATCCAGTGTAAGCAATTGTTGAAAAACCTTTTTAAATGAATAAAATGAAATCTATATCGGTTGAATATTTCAAATTACACTCAAAGCAACTATGTCTATAAGAATATCGAATCAAAACAGATTTTCGCTCTTCTTTTCTGGAATCCCGTGGTTTTTATCGTTTAAATAAAACTTATGCAAGTTTTGTTGTACAATTATTGCGTTCAATCTACCGGAAGTAATATGTAATATATTATTTCGTTAAAGAATAATGTTTAGAAACCAATAATTAAGACGAATGTTAAGGCATATGGTAGGTAGTATCCGTGCAACAGTTTACTGTTGCACAATGGGTAGGTCCGTTCGGGGAAGTACCGCGACCTCAAAGAAGAAGGGCGTGAAGTGTAAGTTGTATACCTACTTCTGCGTTACGTCTGGAGAGTGAGGTAGCCGGAGCCCAAACCCAAATGAAAAAAAGGCTTCTGAGTCACAATTCAAATATTCTTCCTATATGGCTTTTTGCCGCTCTCAGAAAGACGAAAGTAATAGCATGCCATGTCACCGGGTATGCGTTTCAAACATGAAGACGATGCCATACATATTTTAATCATAGCTATAATTGTACTTATTGACACAACCAACCACTGACCAATGGCTTGAAACAATAGCAGTGTTTCCATTTCCCAAAGGCACAATAGGTCTTGGTTGAACTTACATGTGGTAGGGCCACGTGTTCATTGTTGCGAGAATGGGCAGGTCCGTCCGGGTTAGTACCGCGACCTCACAGAAGACCGGCGTGAAGTGCAAGTTGTATACTTCTGCGTTTCGCCCGGCCCTCTTAATTAAAAGGTGGCAACGCATCTGCAACCCTATGAGTGTTTCAAAAGTCCATGGGCGGCGGTTATCACTTAACATCAGGTGAAGCTCGCGTACCAGTTTGTAACATAAAAAAGGTCATACCACATCGTATCGCGCACGCGAACCAGTATAAGAATTAGCACAGTTTAAATGTACCTACATGTATGATTATGTGATACAAATTCAATAATTCAAATGTGGAGCGTCATTTTTACTAAGCGAAATACGCATTAAGAAACACGATATTAAATGGAATGAAACATTCATTGCAAGTTTATGATCTCAAACACACATAATCTCTTGTCAAACAGTAGATAGCACAGACTACAAATTGTCGCCCAAATTTTTAAACATGTCAGAAAAACAGTATGAGTTTCACATTTAACGAATTACGGTTAACTTCCCACCGTAATTATGACGGCCATTAGTTTAAGATAAAAGTGTATTTTACATTCGAAATAATCATTGACAACACTTACGCAAAACCGTCGTCCCACTCGAAGTTATCCATCAGACTCCACGCGAAGTAACCGTGGACGTTGCTGTGGTCCTCGTGAATAGCATGCAGCAGCGCGTTCAGATAGTGACTGTAGTATGATACGCGGGCTATGTCGTCAACGCCGCTGAAGTCCGCGTAGCCATTTTCCGTCACTATGATCGGTACGTTGTTGTAAGTCCTTGTTATCCACTGGAGCAAGCGACGGAAGCCAAACGGTACCACCTGTATGCAAAGTTGCTTCGTTTTAAAGAAATTGTATCGCTTATACTTTGTTTTTTTTTAACCACCGCTGGATACAGGCGTTCCACACAGACAATGTACAATCCTAAGCCATCTAGAGGTAGGGTGGTCCTATACTGTGATGGCCAATACGAGTCTTGGACAGCCACTGAAGAATCTTTCTTCCCCGTCAGTTATCGGTTCTACAAGCCGGCTAAATGCCACTTCAGCTTAGGAATATTCTAAGCTATGTAAGTTTTCATCGTTCTATAGGGGATATCTGTATTGTGAACTCTATCACACAGAGACATATCGTGTATTGCCAACAGCCAACACCGAAGAGCCACATCCAAGGTGTCATCATTAGCAACACACATTAATTGAAGACTGTGTGCGGGACCCTGAATGTACGACTCCGTGATACAGTTTTTGGGATTTGATATTCATTAAACATTGTCCTTGTCTTTAAACAGTGAAACAGTCTTAAACCTTAAACTAGTCTTTAAACATTGAGGGTTATTACGAATAAATTATTTTTTACGTAATTGAAAATGAATACATGACTCAATCTAGTACGGAATTTGTCATGTCAGTCTTATGACTAATAATTACTCTAATGTCATAAATAACAAAGTTGCTCCCTCATAACCTGCAACAGGTTTCGCATTAAATACGATAAATTTATTTGTATTATTTACTATACACAGGTTACTGATGACTACTGTGAAACATTTCATCACATTAACAATTTATATCCAGTGTATAACTTTTTTAAATAGGATTTGGTTTGAAATTAACATGAAACAGGTACCACTCATATTAAACGATATACAATATATCAATATACATACGAGCTAATATAATTATTTAATTTAGAAAATAACCAAGCGGATGACTTTTAATAAATCTTTTTGGTGAATCTTCTCTACGACGCAGTTGAAATTGCTTAATAAAATGTTCAAGTACATTCAAGAAATAAGTAAAGTGCAAATAAATAAATGAATACAAGTACGAATGCGTTCGTAGATAAATTAACATCTCGTAATTTGCATGTAGCTCAAATACATTAAAAAATAGAAAATATAATCATATAAATATGCTTTTTATGTTCCTGTTTTGTCCTAATACTTTATATAATCCTTCGCCTCCGAGCACAGCGAGACCAACACAACGCGTACACAAGGTACACCCGCGTTCCAGGGCGGTTCTCACCGCCCCCAGCCACCGATTACATAAAAACAGTCGACGGCCATCGGGGTCTCGGTCCGCACCGCAATCTCGATGGCCCTTAGATGACTTGCCGTAGTTAAACGCACGCATGAGCACATGCGCGGCCCTACCCACAGCGGGGGGCCCAAACTCGTGGGTTCTGGCTAGCCCACCGGTTCTGCGTCAGATGAAGCTTTAATAATCTCGGGACTGAAACCAAAAACATCAGTTAATACAAGAATACAAAGCTTTATATAATGTCTCGTCGTCTCAATAAGCTCAGTTCATAAGCTCCTAAACATTACCACCCTCAATTACGTTACGTTATGTTACGTTACGTATGTTACGTTACGCAATCATCCGACCTTAAAACAGGCAATGCAAGAAAATAATTTTAATGGTCTCCTTAATTAAGTTACTATCATTTATTTTCCAAATTAGTATTATTTAGGTACGTAAACAGTGGTTCATTTTTGTTAATTATAAATCGTTCTTGTTCAAAACTCGTTAAAATCGTCCGACAATAAAAAGATGAGCGCGTAATTATAGTACCTGCAAATAACAAGTTCTATGCAGTCGTGCGAATCTACACAATCATATCTGAAATTATCAAGATAAGGACATAATAAACGTGTGCAACGACAAATAAACCCTATTATATTATATATATACAGAGGCTTACTTTAATATCTTAACAAACTTATGCTCACAAATACGCCCGCCAGAATTTTTCGTAAAAGACATCAAACTTTCAAAGAGAATTTCATCTTGAGATACCGTGGAAAGATTTTACACAGGTTGACAGACATCTTAATGCTCTTGCTCTCCAATAGTTAATATATTAAATTTCTCATTTAATTTAGAAAGTAAACATGTTATATCTGTTATGTCACTGTTATACAAACTCGTTTGTACATCGATTAAATTTTATAAAGCTGTAAATTCCGTATAATTTATCTAATGTATATAAAATTATAAGAATAAAACAAGAGCTGAATGTGACCTAGCGTTTAAACCGGTGTTTTTCCTGTCGGACGGTAAAAAACTTGCACCACAAATCAAACACAAAAACCATCCCCACCTTCAGCCACGACGATGCAGACTTCGAAGGCCACTTTGGATCTTGAACGCGGACGATGCCGACGTCGTTTTCGTGCGATGGTATGGCCCCAACTTCTCCATCAGCCATGCTTAAGAGGTACGTCGTGTAGTGGTTCAAGCCGAAGAAGTCGGCAGTGCCCCGGATAAACGCCACCTCCTCAGGCGTGAACTTCGGTAGACGGGAACGGGTGTAATTTTGTAATCGACTCTTTTCGTCTACGAGTTTGATTAGTTCAGGGGGATAATTGCCCTCCGTTGAATAAACCGGATGCGCATACCAACCCACCTGTAAAAAAACACTTTTTACTTATCGCAGACGTTCTAAGGTATAGAATTTTGTAGCGAAGTCTGTACTGTTACATATCGTAATATTATTTAAAAAAGTAATAAATTAAATTCGTATTGGATACACTAATTAGAGAATACACGAATATTTTACGCACTTGATAAGACCAATCACCTGACGACAATGCCAAATGGAATATGTTACTGTACCCGATATTCCATTTGGAGGACATCAACATCATTAAGCTCAATACCCCTATACACCTTGCCGTGTTAGTTTACATAATGATTTCTTAAAGTTACGTGAATGCTAACGTCATATAACCTTACAGATTGTATAGGCAGCATTCGTAATTACGAAACGACCTGAGGTGTCCAACACAGTTTGTTTATTAAAGTAAGGATCGTAGGGCATAATAATTGTACATAATACCTTATAGCCCCCATTAATTTATTGAAAATATACGTTATAAGCATGTAAGTGGAACTAGCTATATTTCTACGGCCCTTAAAAATTTAAGGCAGCCTTTTCTTTAAATTTTTAAAGCCTTTTAAAATTAAAATTCCTTGGCATCTCAATGTCGCCACATTGCAGGTGAATAAATTGCAATTTCCAGTGATTGCAAAATAATTAGTGTAACTGCAATTTGACCACGAACCTACCTAGAGTTTTTGCAAGGAAACCTCAATCGGTACGTTCGAGGTACATTCTCATTATGATTGCGTTGTTGATAGTTTGTTAGCCAATTGGTCAAAACATGTAAGTATGCGGTAGTTCCGCCATACATCTGGTTTCTGTTTGATTACAGCAATTATCTCATTCAGTTTATACTATAACATCGATCAAATAAAATATAACGCTGTTTAGTTTAATATTGCCTTGTATATTTTTTTTTGCGGTATGTTTACCCTAAACAGTAAAAAAGACATACACATATGCACGAAACTTACATGCGTCCTCAAATATAATTCGGCCGCTTCACGGTCCCTCGCTGTTTCGGTTTTAGGTTCAGCCCAATTAGAATCTAATGACATTCCAATTTTACCTGTAATGTAAAGAAATATTAAGATACGAGTTCTCAGGTTAAAGTTATTTTTAAATGGGTCTATCAACAACTTGAATAATAACAATTGAAAAAATGTTTGTTAATGGCATATTTACCACCAGAAATTGATCTGTAGTTCGCGTCGAATAGGTGATAGACGTTAGCGTGTGCCTTTAGAAGATTATGGGTGCAAAGGTACTCAGCGACTCCGTGACGATTGATTGCGGGCGCTCTGTAAGTGCCACCATAACCTTCTAAACAAGTCTGCATCGGTTCGTTGAAGGTCACCCAATACTTCACTTTATCAGCGAAATTGTCGAACAACACTTTAGCATAATCTGTATAATAATCCACTATGTGTGCGTTCGTCCAACCTCCGATATCTTGCAGTTTCTGGGGCAAGTCCCAGTGGTATATCGTAACCATGGGCGTAATGTTGTACTTTAGAAGCTCGTCAATTAGATTTTTATAATACTGAATGCCCAAAGGGTTTACGTAATTGGCCAGCCCCATAGGCAACACTCTAGGCCATGATATTGAAAATCTGTACACGTCGACACCCAACTCGCGCACCATTTCAGCATCTCTCTTGTAAAGATGATACGAGTCAGCGGCCACGTCTGCGTTAGATCCATCCTTAACGAAACTTGGATTTGTGTGTATTAAGTGATCCCATATACTTTCAGACTTTCCTGGAATAGAGGTAAATTTAAATATTTTATTCACTAAAATAAAAATGTATTAGTGGTTTGGTCATATCATCAAGTTTTTAATCAATAATGGTTTAGGTAATCGGCGTTATGTTTGGATTTCATTTTACATATTCGCTTTTTGCAAAAAATGCTGTGATGAAAAGAGAATTTCTATCAATTAAAAATAAAAATCTGTTCTGGAAAAAATTTATTGTTTATATTCCCAGGCTTATTAGACACGCGTCATATCAGACTCCGTTCAATGAACTCTCCTCTGCTTTCATTTTTTTATATCAGATACTAATAATAGCTACATTATATTATACTGTTGAATTGCATATTACCTGCCATTTAGATTATAGCGATATGCATACATATAAAACATTCATTATAAAAACAGAAAGAAATATACCTAGAATACTTCTTTCTGTCTTTAAGATGAATGTCTTAAGCTATAATTGACAAAGAAATATTGGTGTGCAAAATTTTAATTCAATATAGAAAATGGAACACGGAAACAATTAAAATGGGCTTTAGAAATTTAGAACTCTATTGAGTATGATAACAAAAAAATGTTAAAATAAGTTTAAATATATGCCGTTTATTTTTTAGTATTTATAGTAACACAAAAATGCCTTACCATCTTCGTTCCAAGCGCCTTCTATTTGCGCAGCGGCAGTGGATACGCCGAAAATAAAGTTTTTGGGAAATGTATAATTCGATTTCAGTCCACCTGCTAAATTTATAATCTCAGTATTTCTGAAAATAAAATAAGCAATATTTATTTATAGAACATCCCCATAGTGTCCAACAATTCAAGAGTGTCTCTAAATTTTCGAACTTATTTTTTAAAAATTAAGTTCAAAAATTTGGAATCTTTCCCTTACATTTGAAATGACGTTCTTAAACGTTTCGTATTAACTTTATTAATAAAAATATCTTAACACTTGGATATACATGACACAGTAGACACGGTAATTTAATTGGGCCCACTCCTCGTACTTGTAATCTACTCGTATCGTACCTTAATAAGCTATTAGACCAATACGACACTTCTCGCACGTATATTAAATTAATTAGTAAAGATCGCACAGCATCAAAAAAGAAAGACATACGCTTTTCTTAGTTCCCTCAAGCCATTAAGAATAAAAGAAATCAAATCATTTAATATTTTATTTAAATTTTTACCATATTCTTTTTCAAACATCTTTCTTAACGTTCTGTTCAAAATCGTAAAATTAACTCAAACAACACAAAGTATATATAATCTTCTGTTGTTCTAGGCAAAGGAAATCATCTATTTGCTTATGCAGCAATGAGTTTGTCCGTGAAATAATGAAACTACGTCAGTGTGTAATTTAAAAATTAAAATTTTTTACACTTGTTTCAAATGTGAAAGACAGAAGTAATCAGTATTTCAGTTTCTATTTTAACTATTTAAACGATGGAAATAAAAGTTTTCATTAAAAAAAATAATAAACTGATATTGTGTTTAATTTGAAATATCAACATAATGTGAATAGGCAAGTAAACGCGCTACGTATCGTAGAGCATAACAGAACATCAGGCACCTATACACGTAGTCTTTGCAGAAAGATACCGCACACATGTGCCTATCACAACACAATCTCTTAATTTTGATTCTGATCCAACTCCTTCACTAATATAAATCCGAGCATGCTCATGGGTTATCACAATAATTCTAAATGACAAACTTTAACGATCTGTTAGACATAAATTGTAGTAAAGCATCAACGACTGATTTTGCCCTTTTTTCTTGATATCATATTCATATGGATTGAGGCTCGTGCTTGATGAAGTTAATGTTAAGTACGTCGCTAATATTCAATTTGTAACAAAAACTTGGATAAAACCTGGGACTTTTTAACTAGCACTTAGCTAAACCGGCAAGTCTGAAGATTATTAAAAAGTAATGTTCCTGGGTTAATTGTTGTACAGCCCTGTAGTGAGTTCACGGACGATCAAGACGAACATAGTGTACCAATTTAATGAAACCGGTAGCAGTACGGTAGTGGTTTTGTTACCGCAAGTTAGTGAAGGAATTAGGAATAGTTGTTCATTCACAAGCGTGCTCATGAACAGAGGTGCCGATACGTTCCATAAATCCCGCAGCCTTCCAACGTACCACAGGTGGCCAACAAGAGAGTTATTGTGGTTTTAATCGTCGTTCCCCTAGAATACATTTTTGTTATACGATTTCCCCCTCGATACTAAAATGGTAGTTGTTACAATCAGCGCGACAAAACAGCGTTTGAGAACTCAGATTAGTCTTTGTCAAAAATACCCCCAAGCTTTAGGACAAAAGTCTCATAAATATTGAGCCTTGGCAGTTATGATGCTATGATATAAGGTCACAACTTTAACGATTTACGGAAATAGCAATGCTCTTTTCGTAAATTGTTTATGATCGATTAATCGATAAAGAAAGTCTATGTATACCTAACGGATCACATCTAGACGATGATAATGGTGTACATCAATATTATATTTTCTAAATTGTGTATGTCGCAATGTGCGTTTTGGCGCTGGCGCTTAACTAAGGATAAAAGAAATTTCCGACACAGAAGCATCGTGTCAATATTCATCATGTAGGCAAAAAAAGTTCTATATTTGCTGCATGGCGTTATTTTTATGATTATTACGTAGATTAAAAATATCTCTTACTTGTTATCAAAATCCTATCATGACTATATTTACTATTATGTTCTAATTTACATGACAAAGAGTAACTCCTTATTATTGAATACAGCCTTAATTTGATTTGCTGGTGAAAGAAAATTTTCTACTATCCGTTTAATTCAATCGGTTTCATTTATCATCCATTTTTCTATCCGATACGTAAAGAGAAAATCCCTTCTTAAACTGTGATCAAATTCGATACGGAGGACAACTCTCTTCTTTTAGGTAATTTTAAGATTTCCCCACGACAAAATAAATATATAAATCCGTTATTGTACCCTAGAAATATATCCCAGGAGTACAACAACTATTCTTAGTTCTTAATAGCTCCTGTCCCCTACAAGATACGTATTCACAGCCCGACGTGAAATAGCAGTTGGTGAGATGATCATAAAACCGTTGCGCCAATCATGCAGACACAGCAATACTTCTTTTTGATAATAGGAAAGCATTAACAATGTCATTGCGATCTTGTCATTAAAATGTTTTCTCTTTTTAAGAGAACTGTTATTCTTGTTCTATAACTTGTAGAATAGAGCACGTGGTAACATTTATGTATTTTTATCGCTTGCAATTAAATAAATTATATTGCATTCACGTTACTTGTATACACTTCACACGTCCTTCGCTATTATGTCGCCCCATACACGTTTCAGCTGACGGTTGTGAACAAAGGGAATGTTATCACTACGTTTGGGGTTGTGAAACTGCCATTTTTAGTTTTCAAACTGTTTTGTCTCTGGTCATGTGTTGATATCTAATGGTATTTAAATATCTATTCCATTTTTATAAATGCTGTACTTAAATATTTGTTTCAGCAGTGACATACAATAAACACATCTTTAAACAGATAGTTTTACGATATCTGAGTACTTATATATAATCCATCTTGTCTGCATCCTTTTGTATTATTTAGTGATATTTATCACTAAATAATAGATTTAGTGTAATAGATTTAGTAATTTAGTGATATTTATCACTAGATAATACAAAAGGATGGAAAACAAAAGTCGTTGACGTAAGAAATTAGCATAAGAGTACGTCTCACTATTTGTGCAATTCTTTAAATTCATAATGCAACACATGGATATATAAAAAATATATGATACATATTTTTAAAATGTACCATATATTTGTTTTAAATCTAAACAGACTTATACTAAAGAATTTCTCGGTAGTGTCGTCAGTCACACCTTATGCCAAGTACCAGATTTATTACTGCATTTATATTCCCTAGGTTGATTTTTTTTTTTTTTGCAAATTATAATAAAGAAGGAGATTGGCACTTAAATCGGATAGATATTCGGTAGATATTTAAACAGTATAATTAAACTAAACTTAAGTATAACATCACAAATCCTTAACCCACAATGAGCGCTTATAATGATGACACAGATGTTCTTATTCAAACGCTTATAAAACCTTTGAATAAAAACATCTGTTGCATACTTTTAGTTATAAGGCTTATTAAAGTATCGATTTTCAAAAAACTCAGTTACAGATTTTATAGCGGTTTATTTTAATTTTAACACTTAACGTTTCGAATTCTCCACTGAATTCATAGTACCAGGCTTCTCAACCGCATTCATAGTACTGGCTACAAGCGTCTCCCCCTTGCTCTCAACTGCTTCTGCCCATCTATGTGTGAGGTAGACCAGAAGATTACCAGCTGAGTGACCTCGAGGAAAGCCGTACTGGCAGTCGCTAATCAGCCGGTGCTCCTCTAGGTACCGCAGGAGATAGCAGTTGATAACGGACTCCACTATCTTGGAAAACAAAGAGGTTATGACTATAGGCCTTTAATCGGACGGATCCGAGCGGTTGCCTTTTTTAGGGTTCGGGTGTACTAAAGCGGCCTTTCATGATTTCGGGACTTCGCCTAAAGTATAGGAGTGCCGGAAAAGACGCGTTAAAACCAGTGCCAACTCATGTCTGCAACGCGATCGGGATACCATCGGGTCCACTCGACTTGTAAATGTCCAAGGAAAAAAGTGCTTTGCGAACTGCGCTTTGCCGAAGTTTTACCTCCGGCATCGTAGCGTCGCACTGGGGGATAAATGGTGGTGAGTTTCTTCCGTCATCCGAAGTCGAGTCTCCTTTGCGACATAGGCCAACGAGTGATCCTCCGTGTGCAGGGTGGAAAAGATGGCTTATAGAAATTCCCCAAGACAGCTTTGGCGAGAGACCAAAACGCACGTGTTCCCGGTGGGAGACGCGCCAACCTCTCGCCAACAACTTTTTTTATTTATTTATATGTTGTTGTCGGATTTAAGTCGCGTGTACAAGACAACGTATTTGAAACAGGTATTCACTCTATTGTACCAACAAATTTCCTCATAAAATAGTTTTTGTATTATTCCGTTTAATTATTTGTTAATGTTTTCTGGTATTGCTGTGAATGCTCTCTTCTTTGTTCAGTATATAAACTGATTAGCTGACAGATCTTTCATTTAGACCAAACTATTTTTTTATTGCTTAGCATTGTTTGTACAATTCTATGTTATCTAAATTAAATTGCATTACTTGGTTTGCAAGGAGTACCTATTAACGCCATAAATAATCGCGTAGTATTGTGAAATACCTAAATATAAAAGTGATTCTTATCTTAAATTTTATCAACACATGAGGATTGTCGATAATTTTTTTCCTAAGGTCAGAAGAGGTTCATTTTTAAAATATGGATGCAGATTTATATGAAAATTTCGTTAAATTTAATTGACATACAGAAACACGAAATTCAAGTTTTTATTAATGACACTTCTACTGACGTAAACACGTTCCAATTTGGCGAAAATTATCCAATTATATATCCAAAATCTGAGTCAATGACTGATATACATATTTAGCAACGCACAGTAAATACTCCAGAATTAAAACTTAAAATTAAGCCAGTATCGCCTCTTGACTTTATAAACCGTGGGTATTAAATAGGATCGATCTTTGCAGTGTGTATTTGTTTGATTTTTTGGTGTAGCAGAATGGAAATTGCCTGTGTTCATTATTCTGTGTGATTTATTCATAAAAATAACCAGCAGACTCTTCATCAGTCTGGGTTTGTTGCTGAACATAGCAGCACCACAACGGCGTTACTTAAAATAACCTACGATGTAAGAATAGGTCCTAAAAATTGACAGTAAATGGTGCTTGTCCATTTCTCTTACGAGAGTTAATACAAAACGTGATTAAATTTATCTAATCTTTTGTTATACTTACTTTTAACACAGTTGATCACGATATCCTCTTTTCCATTTTTACTCACTTGGGTTATGTAAGCGACTCTAGCCATGAATAAGTTCTATTCCTATCTTCGAGTATGTCAGAAATTGGGGCAAGTGACCTCCCAGCGTGTTAATCTTGAGTCAGGCAGACCGCAAGGTAGGTATTCTTTCTCCCATACTTTTTAGTCGTTATAAATTTAATCACGTTTTGTATTAACTGCGCGTACCGTCTGTATGCCAACAACTTGCAAATACAATACTACATCCAAATTGACGTTGAGAGCATCCACAACGCGATTAAATTTAAATCTAGATCATGTACATGGTAAGTCGTCGCATTTTGGCATGTTTGTCAACTTGTTAGCTTGTTGGCTAAAATTGACGCTGAAAGCCTTCCATTTGTGCGAGTCTTTGCGGATTAGAGATCTCTCTAACATCTAAAAAGTTTATTCTTTATGCTTATGTTTTAAACAATGTTTAGTTTAGTAAAGTTTCCATCAACTGCAACAAATTAGGGAATACATGGTTTTAGGTTAAAATGAAGGAAAGTACACTAACTACATAAGTTTAGGTTTGGTTTCGAGTTTGGGCCAAAGCTAAAAGACGAGATGAATTTATCACTCATTCAATTTCGATTAAAATCTAATCTTTTGTTATACCTATTATTAAAGAGACATTAATTGCTATAATCGATAATAGGGTTAAAATTTGAATAAATAAACAACATATTTGTTACGTCCTAAAGTAGCAAGATTCATTAAAAATTTAAAGATTTTATAAAATAAATTGCACAAGCATCCTTTTTATTTCTTTTGTAAATCCATCCGTGTCAATATATATAATTTGTGAAAATCTTTATGTAAAAGTAAGTAACACCAAAGATGTTGGTTCTGTATAATTTCAATAGGAAATTGTAGCGTTTTAACTAGTAAATGATTTATTACTTCATAAAAATACTACATACAATTAATATGATTGAAATAGCTATGGCATTTTTAATATTATCATTCGAGGAATCTAACATTTCTATAAAAGTCTTTAAGGTCTTATGTTAGTGTCTCAGAATACAATCATAATTATGTAGGGCGTTGCTACTTCCGCCGAGGAAAACCTTCTACCTGCGACCTAGCCCTTTTGCGGAAAACAATTTACAAACAAACCTAGACACTGCGGGAAAATAATTTAAAGTATCCTTCAAATCAATGTTTTTAAATACAAAATGAACAAAGTGTAAAGTGTTACATAACCTTGGTTATAAAGGATCATTTAATTATCACTATCTGTTATAATATCAATATCAATATCTTTTAAGTTCTGAACCAAAAATAAATCATTTTCTACAATAACTATGCCTTGAATCTTCTGAATAGACTCTTAAACAAGAACAAAATTGTAAGAATTATCACTTTCTTCAATTAATTCCTTAAAAGTTTTATAAAATGAATTTAGCAGTTTCGAGGTAAATGATGAACATAATATTTTAAAAGGTAATTCACTTGACTGTCAACCCAAGCAGTACATAACACCGGGTTTCTTTTGACGAAAGCTGGTCGTTATTGACTAGTATATAAACTAATATAGGTTCACGTAACAGTTCGCTGTTGCACGAATGGGCAGGTCCGTCCGGGGAAATACCCCGACCTCACAGAAGACTAGCATGAAGTGGAAGTTTTGTACTTCTGCGTTTTGTCTGGTGACTGAGGTAGCCCACATGGTGCAATAAAAGGTGTCAACGCATCTGCAACCCTACGGGTGTTGCAAATGTCCATAGGTGGCGGTTATCACTTAACATCAAGTGCATCATCTAGCTCGCCATCTTCTTACGTTAAAAAAAACAACATATTTTTTGGACAGTCCTTGTTTTGCTTCTTAATCGACATTGCTTAGGAGTAGCTTTCATCATTTTTTTAATTTTAACCAATCTTACTTTAACTACAAATAAAATAAAAGTAAAGTAACATGTATAGACATGTCCCACTGCTGGCCAAAGGCCTTCTCTATACAGAGGGTATCAGGGCATAGTCCACCACGCGGCCCCACTGCGGATTGACGGACTTCACATATCTTCGAAATATTTTATTTTTATCATTTCGAAAATATGCAGGTTTCCTCACGATGTTTTCCTTCGCCGCAGAGCACGTGATAATTCAACACTTAAAATTGACAATTTCATTGGTTCTGGCACCGGGGATCGAACTCAGATTACACCAGTATATTTAGGAGAGCGCCCGGACACTGGGCTATGACGGCAACAAATAATGGAAAGATGTTTTTTTATACAAAATAATAAAACTTTCTTAATACATTTCTTATATCATAGATAGGGACAAATACAAAAAAGAAAGTATCAAAAATAAAAGATAAACCTATCTTTTATAAAAACTAAATATTTTAATATTTCTCTAAAACATCGGCATATTGCAATAAATGTAACTCTACTTCTCCTATTTTACCATAAGGTACGTAATTAGGCTGTTATATATTTAAAAGCCCTTTATTTCAAATCAACAGCCATTAATCGTTTAAAACCTTTAATCTTATTTATGAGTTAAAAGTACAGTTTTTTAAAATTAATATCTTAAAATAGATTACGACAAGTTTAAAACAGATTACAATATATAACAATAAGTTTTAAACCACTTACCCTTTTAAAATTACAGCTGCTAGAACAACAAGTAGTATATAAATATTCATTTTGCTAATTATTTTAAACAACAAATTAATACTAAAAATACCACCAAAAATATCACTTTCATATATCACTACTGGACGAGAATTATAAATAATTAATACTTTTTAAGTCGTTTGCATGGCTACGTTGTATTATAAAAAGGACTAAGAGTGCAAGTGACAGTCGCTTTGAGACCCGAAGGTCGATAAGGTGAAGCAATTTTACGTGTAGCGAGCGCGGGAAACGTTCGCGCACTGCGCGTTTTGAGTGGCCTGAACGGCTGTACAGAACAAAATACTCAACACTGTTTCTGCGATTGAGGTAATATAAGGATAATGCTCGCTGCACGTTGACAATAGCTGCACTCTAATCAGTTGCGATTCACTCTCAATCCATTCACACGAATTCTAAATTGCCGAATCGAATGACAATATGTCAAATTATTCAACTGTCTTATAATTTATATAGATTCAGCTTCATATTTTCAATGTCCCTACAGACATTTTAAAATGTTATTTTCAATAAAAAAATAACCGGTGTAGTTCAAGCCTTTTAAAGCTTTTAAAAGTCAAATCAATATTTTCGTACTGGCAATTGGCAAAATCAGTTGGAAAGAAATACTTTGCGAAAACTTGACGGCACTTACGACACACTCCTATAGTAAATGAGGCACTAGTTAATAATACACATTTCATTAAAAAATACTCAGAACGGTACAGGTCACTGTATAATATCAGTCACCTGTGGTAGCAAAAAATATACACACAGTTTATTACTACCAGTAATTGAATTTCCTTACATGGTAAATAAAGCATGTTATTTTCGTTATAGTATCAAAATTACTCTCGTAAATCGAAACCAGATTTGTTTGAACGTGAAGACTGGTGGGTATTCCACACGCGTGAGTAATCAGTGCATTACTTACTACAGGGTTTACCAATGCTTAAGGTAATCCTCAGAGCTTGGAATGCATAGGGATTTTGTTATCATTAATGTGGGAATAACGTTGTATTAACGCGGTTAAAGCGGGTTAAAGCGGTGTATTAACACCGCTTTATCGCATACCCATTTGTGAACCGAATTTAAAACAAATATGAATATTAATCGTATCCAAATCGGTACTACTTACTGGAAATTATGTTTATTTGAAAATATATATAATATTTTACGCGTCTGCTTTTTCGCATTTTAAGCAATCCGGGTCACTATATCATATCGAGCCATACGCCAGGTCGCAGGCGTTAGAGGCTTGCTTGTTAAGAGTTATTTTGCCGGCTTTTAGGGCTCCTAGTCAAAGGGCTCAGGAGTACGAATTTGCTAAATTTATCTGCTAAAACAGTACCTACTACTGAAAAATTCTCTGGTATTTTCGCATTATGTTTTGTTTTCTGACGAGTGAGGTAATCGGGGCGCACTGCTTGTAAAGGTTGAAAACGTACCAAGCTCTCAGGTATTGTGGATATCCATCAATGGGTCGCCGCCATTATAACTTCATTATAGCCATAATATGCCATAGCCATATATTATGATGAGAGAACCCTTACTGACTTGCTTAGCATCTTTTCACAAAAAAAAAAAAGAAACGACTAGACAAAGCCGAAGAGAGTGATTAGTGCATCAATATGCACAAAAATGAAAGCAATTTATTTATATTATTTACTGAAGTATTTTCTTTTTAATATTTTTCCTTAGTTATAGAATGATTTGGGGGATTGTGCCCATACTCACCACGCCTATGTGGCGTGCCCTTGGGGAGGCCTATGTCCGGTAGTAGACTGCAAAAGGCTGTTTGGTTGGTATAGAATGATTCTTGGACAAAGGACAAAACTGTTACCATTTTTTTTTATTTGTTTGAATCAAAATTTTACACATCTAAAAATTTCTTTATTAAAAATTTATGAGTATAGTACTTATGTATTATGTAGTAGAAGTTATATTTCTTTATCGTTACAAAAGAAACATAACTAAATATGTAATCGCCTGTGCTCTTATTTGTACTCTTTGTTACTACATTACTATCTTTTTAGTACATTAAATGAAATTAATAGCGATTTAACCAATGATATTTAACCGACTTCAAAAGGAGGAGGTTATTTATCAATTCGATTGATATATATTTTTTTTCGATGTATGTACACCGATTACGCGGAGATTTATGATCCGATTTACGCGATTCTTTTTTAGTTTGATACAAAATAGTTGCCATTTGTTCACATAAAAATTTTAAGTAGTTTTCATTTTATGAACATTTTTACAAGATTTTATACACACAAATGTCATTAACGCGCCCGGAATGAAGCCACGAAACTTCCCGGACTCTTTCATAGCATCACTCCACTAAACAAAGAAAGAGGCAGCAAATAAGTTTAGGACGGAGACAAGATAGACAGACGGCTTAAGTCAGAAACACTTCCATTAAATTTTTTCTTATTGCTTTAATTCGGCTATCCTTTTTATACCATTCGAACGAAACGTGGAACTGTTTGCTGTCACTCTTACACTCGTGAAGTGCAATTTTAAAAATAATAATTGTAAAATTCCTGGCTGGCTGGTCTATTAAAGAACCACCGGTGGAGTTCGGAAAAAGAATTTTGAGGAAGGATTTTTTTTAATATGAACCTCATAAAATAAAACAAACTTACATTTAATATAAACAAACTCTGTTTCAAGATCCTAAAGTTTCCCTAAAGTTTCCTAAAGTTTCAAGTTTCCAACTCTCAATAATTTTGTCTTTCTTTGGGTTTTACTAACGTTATCGTCAAATTATAAGTTACATCACGTCCATTTAGTTAATTTAAAAACCTTAGCTTAATTTATGCAAAATACGATTTTGGATTTATTCAAATGTCAATGCTATTTCTATAACTTAGATACTATGAATAACAAATTTAAATTATTTCTTAATACAATATTGCAGCAAAATACCTAAGTAGCTGATATGAAATGGAGTCCATTTAAAATTTTCTAAACGTACCTTTCGCATAAAAGCATTTACCTTCATTAGGAAAGAAGCTAAGGAACAGAAAACAAGTATTCTCACGACACGGTGTTTCAATAAAAGTTAACTCTTTCTGTTTTTTTTTAAACTCGCTTGATTCTTTTAAGCCACGTGACTTGGACTGACATCATCAATTATACAAAAAATCATTAATACGTCAATGCACTGTAGTATCAAGGGAAATAAACGACTCTCGTCTCTGCTGTACTATTAAAAAATTATAATGTGGTGTGTTATACGTTACTTTCAGTTAACACATGGTATAGACGAAGGCCTCCATGTGACGATGACATTCGCCAATTTTATCGAATAGATATGTTGTTGACTTGTTGTTACTTTATTTTACAAAGAAAGTAAGGCGCATTGTAAGTACAATATAATAACTTGTTTAATTAGTCATAGGCTATGCGTATTCTGTAGAACATTAACACGATGGAGAGACTCGAAAATTATTACTCTCGTGGGATTATTCTTGGTTGGTGTAAAAAACAAGATCCAAACGCAATTGAACGAAATTGTAAGATCAATGCCGAAAGATATCATGCCTTTAGACTCATTTACCTATATGTATTATAAGCAAAATATTAATTTTTTTTTTTTAATTTAATGAGTATAAATGGTAGTTGAGCAGTAAACCGACTGATGGTCAGCCGCTCACGGACACACGAAACAGGATTACGTTACGGCCATATTGCTAGTTAGAGAAAAGTGAGAGAATGGTAACAATAATATTTCAATTTTATTTAACGTAAAGAAAATATCGATATGCGTTACATTTTCATATTTATAACTGTCTGAAGGGGAATACCCAGACTGCTCAATTCGGTCCCACCCCATAACTAACGGATCTATTACATTAATTAAGAGTATTAACTGTTTAGACTGTATTAATTTCTGTTATTTTTATATTGTCTCTTCTGCATTATTCGAGTGCCAGTAAACAATAATTGTAATATACATTGTAATATAACTTAAACAAAAAAATATCTTTACTGCAATAAAAATTAAATTTCGTATCATAAATGAAAAAAATTAAAACCTATTCTATATTCACGCATATATTTTGCAATACCTATCTGATTTGAATCTAATAAAGAAACAACACTAAGCATTTTCTTTTGAAGTAGAAGATTGAAATACAAATTAAATGTTGGCAATAAAACGTGCCTAAAAAGGAAACATTCAACCAAAAAATTTTACAAGTATGTTTGCAGGAAAACATGGATTCAAATGTTTAAATAATATACCCATAAACATGATAGATTTGTAAGACAATAATCGATCAAAGCCGTGCGCAACAACACATAATTATCTTGAACTTTATAAACTGTAAAATACTTGTAAATAATTATAAAATACCGAGCTAGCTGCCATTCAATTATTACTTATGTATTCATGATGACATAAATTTTAATTTTAAATATGAATATTGTGATCTGTCAGTAATCTTGGTCTTGATTCCCAGATTCAGTCAGTATTTACGTCAAACATAAATACTGACAGAATCTGGACACATCATCACCTTATTACACAACAATATTTTCTCAATGTGTTGCGTAGACCAATTAGTTTAATTGGTGCAAATAATAAAAACATTCATTGCACCATTAATAAGTCGAGATCTTTTACCAATTTTTTATAAAGCGTATGATACAATATATGCATGCTTGTGGACGTGTGGTCGACTAATAAATAATTAATCAAACAAAATAAAAACTTTGCTTTAATTAATTACAAATAGACAAACGCGGCACGATAATTATCTTTTAACTTCTTATTGCATCTAGCTGTTAATGATCTGAAATAAACTAGTAAAAGGTCAATATTACTGGAAGTTTTGTATTATTATAGATGAAATACTTGATGCAATATTTCACTTGAATTGCAGTAGAAGAGTACTACTAAAGTCTTAAATCATGTGATGAAACAAAGGAAAAGTAAATATCATGGTAGAGTCATTTTTCGTAATGAACATTAAACGGATCGCTTTTATCACCCAATTAATTAAGGTTTCATGTTTGTTTC